ACTTCTATTCTTGCTTAACCAGTTTTGTGATTCTGATTGTGATTCTAAAAATAACAAAAGATTTTATTGTAATAATATTAATTATCATGAATATATATATATATATATATATATATACAGGGTGAGTTATATATTTTTTTACAACGCTCGTGAGAAGATAGAACAGATCGAGACTTTTCTGTTCATCTCGATCCGTTCTACCTTCTCACGAGCGTTGTAAAAAACATATAACTCACCCTGTATATATATATAAAATCATGATAATGTATTGTATATACGGTATATATACATACATACATACAATACATTAGATAACAAAAATTCCAAAAGGGATTTAATATAATGTAATAACATCACGATCTAATATATCTAATGCGTACTATAATAATATACGAAAGTAAAGTATAAAATTGAAGTATATAATGCATATAATATATAGGTATACATTAGTTATCTTACTGCGGCTGCTTTCGCGACAGAATCAAAATGATCTTGCACTGTGATTGATCATATCTGAAATTTCATTAATTTCGATCATTTTGAGTTCATCGCGAAAGCAGCCTCAGGGTGTCCAGCAGACTCAATGAAAAAAAGTCCCTGACTTTTTCAGATTTTTAAAGACCAAAAATTAATTTTTTCCTGACTTTTTAATATTATTTTTCCAAATATATAATTTGTATATGTATACCTGTATCTATATGATAAATAAATAAAATGTTAAATCATGAAATCCCCTTGAAATACTTTTGTCAACAATAAAAAGGTTCGGAAGTTAAACAAACAAAAATTTAAATTAATTATACAATCTGCATTATGTACATACGATAATCGAAACAAACATGTTCCTATAAACTATTTAAATAATTACCTTTTTTATTTATATTTTATCAAATTTTTTAGTTTTGTCTCTATCAAATATTGAAATAAAATAACACGACAATGAAAACATTAATTAAGGAACACGCTGTAGATGAATTGATTTTTAACAACACAGAAAATTAGTGTACTGGCAGTCAAGGAAAAGTTTATATTTAATAAAAAATTTCAAATTATTGAGACAAATGTAGAATAATGTGAAAAAATCCAGATAAATAGTAACATTTCCTGACTTTTCCCTGACAATTCCAGATTTATAAAATTCTCTGACAATGCCCGGTTTTCTAGATTTCCCTGACCGCTAGACACCCTGAGCCTGCATATGGTTATTATTACAGTACTTATATGTGTTATAATTTATATTCACATTACAGAATATATAAAAATCACAATTATTACATTAATGTTGAAGGGAAAAATGTGATAGAACAATTTTAAATATCTGTTTTTTTAAGAGATTGTACTTACGGGGATCTTCATTTATAATTTTTTTAGAGCCCGGTTCGAAATCTTCCATTACATACTTATTTTTATTTATTTTAACTTGTTTTTCTTTTGCACAAGAGACATTCGCATTTCCTATAAATTAATTTTAATTTATTATATACTGGCTGGATTCCGTAAAGCGTACATTTACGTATAGTACACGTTACGTTTATTATAAAAAATGCACGCATATAGACGCTTTACGGAATCCAGCCACTATAACTAGTCATTTTTAATATTTATTATATTACTATATCATTAGATCTTTACCATTTTTCATAACTGTTTTTATTTTAGTATGTGTAGTCGTTTTTTCTTTCTTCGGAACTTTTGGTATATCTTTGAATATTTGGTCTGCTTCAGAAAATTCATCACTACTATTTGATGATGAGTCAGTCACTACTTTAGCGGCTCTAATTTTTCGTGATTTTTTTAAATAGGCTTCTGTTTCAGTACAAGAATTTATATCTGATAAGTCTTCGACATCCTTTAATTTTTTCCTCGCTTTTTCATAGCAAGCTGAAAAATGTTATATTATTTTAATCAATCTAGTTAACGTTTTTGACTGGACCTGGTAAACCGTTAGTAAACCAGGTATAGTCGAAAACGCTAAATTTCTTCGTGTATATCTTGGACCTTTATTACTTCCAACCATTGAAAATTAACTGTTTATGAGAATATAAAAGTTCAAATGTTTTCACACTCGCGACTAATATAAATAATATGTGTGTGTGTGTGTGGTAGCATTAATATTCATTTATACACTTTAAATTATTATTTCTATTCATAAAATGTGGGAAAAATAAGATAAATAAATAAAATTGATTGCTATTAATAATGTTATCATTTTTAAATAAAAAGAAATATAGCGTTTTTTAATATCAAATCTGAATCACTTAATTTATTATCATACAATAAACAAATAAACAAATTTTTATTCTTTTTGAGAGATAGTCCAAAATAACGTACAAAATGCTGCAATATTAAAAACCTATATATGTATAGTTATTTTACATATATTACACAACATATTAATTTAATTTTAATAAAAAGGTCAGAATAAAAAGAAAACTATACATATAATGAAGAAAACCACTTACAAAATGTCCTGAATATTTTGTTGACTGGGTGTTTCAACCATGTAGATTTTGGCGGTTCCATTAGTTTAACTGCTGTATCATATCGTTGATTAGTTGTATAATGTGGCCAATAAGCTTGTTTTAAATCTGCGGTAAACCAATTATTTGGAATAATTTGGACCCCATCTTCAAATTCAACAATTGAATACTTTTTTTCAGTCATCCTAGTATTATACCAAAGAGCACATTACGTTTCAGTATGTAATAGTGGGAAAACTGCAAATTTATTATTTCCACAAGGTAATTTTGCATATTTCCTTCTCACAGTTTCTAATGGCCATGATTTCAAACATGACAATACATGTACAGAATATATTCCAAGCAAAGAAGATGGACAAGGAACGTCAAATAGATCCTTTTTTTCCAAAAATTCATATCCTATAATCATAGGAATGTTTCGTTCTCGACAGTGCGCTACATTTTCGATACAAAGAATAGTACCATCGCTTAAGCCACAACAATTATTTGCAAGTGATCCAACTTTAAATGTGATTCCGCTATATTTAATAACTTTATATTGCGGATTATTGCAATCAAATGTAAGTGGACCATCACAATGTAGTGACAATAGATTTGGATGTGTTAAAATAGAATCAGACGAAATATTTCGTAATAGTGATATATCTAATTGTAAGTTCATTTCTTTCTCAGTACATCTTCGTACTACCTGTTGTAATGGCTTTTCAGGTTTTCTAAGTAATTTCTTTAATTGTTGCATATAATTTTCGAACTTAAAAGCGCTGAAATTGTCAAGTGATCCAAAGTTCTTAACATCATCTACAAGATGCATAAGACAATGCACATTGTGCGAAACATTGTGGGCTCCATAAAGTTTTACAAATGTTTTAATAAAAAATAAAATTAATTCTTGCACATAGGATAAATATTCATGTAAATCTTTGGAAGACAGAATTCTGATAATTACATGAAGTATCATAAAATGTGTGTATAGATTGTTTTTTAAAATAGATTTAAAAGCCACTGGTCCTGTATATAATAGTATTAATCTATACTCTGTGGCTTTCCACAACTTTACACAATCCAATCCTCGAGGTTTTCTAGCAAATTCTGAAGGTATTGATGGTTTTAATTGTATCAATAAACGTGTAGAAATTTCTTTTACCGCTCTATGTTGTACACGGTAATGTAAATCTCCACCAAGCCATAAATATATCAATTTTCGCATAATTCCTAAACATACTAAGTGCATGTAATCTAAAGGAACGTTTGTGACAGGTTTGAAGTGAGGTATTTTTAACAAGCTGCATGTCACATCTGAGTTATGATAATTATCATCAACTTTCTGAATAAAATCCTCATCTGTTCTAAGTGGCGCATCCGTTTGTGGAAAACATATCCGATTTTTTATGTATTCTCCTTCGGTAATGCACTTAGTACAACTGGAATATCCTGTATGACCTTTTATGCATAAAGTAAATGCTTTGGCAGGTGCATCGCATATCAGCGCTTCAATTCTACATTGTATATGACGATTATCAATGTAAATACCATTCTCACATATTTCTATTGCTTCGTTAACGAAATCTTGTAAAAAGTCATTTGCGTCTGCTGGTTTCTCATTTCCATAGTAAATTCCGATGATAAATACATTGTTATAGGGAAGAATTGAGCCTAATATAGGCCAAAATTGTTGTTGAGACGATTTTGACAATGGTAATCCATCAATGTTTATAGCCATTTTGACACAATCAATAACCTCTTTTTGTAATTTTAATGCATCTGATATAACGTTTAGTAATCCAAAATGGTAATATATTCCCGGTACTACTACACGTACCGCTTGTGTTCTTGGCGTTTTTAAAAATGATCGTGGATCTTTCAACAATGTTGAGAAACAAGAATGCTGTCTTAATTTCAGAAGTAGTGCTTTCAGAGCATTATGTTTAATTTGATATTCCACAGCCCAGACAACAAGATCATTTTCGAAATTGCTGTTTGTCAAGTCTGCATTTTCAGATGTCACTTGTGCTATTGATTCTTTGCAAGAAATTCTTGTATTGTATTGTATGGAATTTAAATTATGTTCATTTACATATTCATCTATATTGAAATGTTCATAATTCACTAGTATATCGTTGTTGTTCCTTTCATTGGAAATATTGTCTTCTTCAATTACTTGTGCATCACTTTGAATATCTGTCATGTCAGAATTAATTTCTAAGATATTTTCCTCATTGTTCGTGCGTTTATTACAATTCTTATATGACGGTATGGCAGTCATATTTAACACAGATTTAGAAATAAATTCCGATTTTTGTTTAATCAATCTGCTTAATTGTCGTTTTGATATATTTGAGATGTCTTTCCTTGGACGCTTTCGATTCATTTTAACTCTGTTTAAATCATTATTATAACCGTTATTATCCCACAATTATAATCATATTATATAACATTATATATTACATAAAATGTACAACTTAAAATGTTATAACCATGATGAAATTTAATTCTGAATAAATTAATGCTTAAAATATAACAACATAAATTACATACAATCAAGAATTAAAAACAACCTAGGCTGGCAAACCCTTTTATTCAATAAATTACGACGTTTCGGCCAGTAATACTGGCCTCTTAATTCAAGTACAATTTACGCTAACCCTATCGATTGTTACAGCAATAGATCTATAAAAAACGTGATAACAATTAATGACGGTAAATTAAAGATTAGAAAAAGAAAAGAACTTAAATTAACTAACTTACAAGAAATTAACTAACTTACGACTTTCATGTCGTAGTACATAAAAATCAATATAAATCCATTGAAATAATAAAAAAGGTCCATTACATCACTCCACACACCGACAGAATAACTGGTATTTTATGTTTTGACGATACGTCGGTCGCAAGAACCGTTCCCATTTGACTTAATCTTGGCAGTTTCCCTCTGGCCTTGTATATGACTAGACATTTATCTGTCGGTGTGTGGAGTGATGTAATGGACATTTTTTATTATTTCGATGGATTTATATTGATTTTTATGTACTACGATATGTTTCCTGTAAGTTAGTTAATTTAAGTTCTTTTCTTTTTCTAATCTTTAATTTACCGTCATTAATTGTTATCATGTTTTTTATAGATCTTTTGCTGTAACAATCGATAGGGTTAGAGTAAATTGTACTTGAAGAGGGCTAGTATTATTGGCCGAAACGTCGTAATTTATTGAATAAAAGGATTTGCCAGCCTAGGTCGTTTTTAATTCTTGATTGTATGTTTTTTATTACTGGCGACTTACCATTCCAATAATTTATAACATAAATTATTAAAATCAAAATTTTTTCAATTAAAAATAGATTGCATCGCCAGTGATAATATAAATTCTTTATTTTCATTAAAAGATGACC